TATACAGAAAAGGATAAAAAATACTAAACACAGCGGCGAAGCGGAGCTTCGCATCATTTGCGATACAACGTAAGAGCAGCATTGCAAGCTAGCAATTAGTAAAAAAAAACGGAGTTTAAAAAACCGAGAAAAATAAAGTTTGGGAGAAAATAAGTTCCGAAATGAAACACAGTCAAAAAACACAACCAGCTACCTTAAAAGAACTTTTACCAGTTACCGAGCAGCTACTAAGCCCACAAATGTTAAGACTATAATTGAGAAAACAAAAAAATGAAATAGTTGTCATGAAAAAATTTTGAACATCTTCTTCTGAACATATAAAATCTATAATATTTGCTCCTGGAGCTACACAGAATAAGTGAACTAAGCCGATAAAACGTTAGACTAAACCATGCAGTCCGAATCAAGCTTTTCAACGGGGAAAAAGAAAACAAAAGGACAGTGCTATCAATATTTTAAATTACAGTAGTAAATCAAAAATACATGCATATACAATGAATAATGCTGACAGGATAAGAAGATTCCCCGTAGGGCAACTTCGTCAAAAAACATACGCCGACAAATGAAAATCCAACATCAGTTTTTAACGAGAAAGTTTTTTTTGAGTTTAATAAATTCCGATAAAAACAAGGTCCGACCGGGTCTCGAATCCCAAACCTTTGAGCAAAGGCAACCGCAATACAATTAGGCCAAGTGGGAATTAGTATCGAAGTAGCTAAGGTTCACTAATAAAGCAATTTCCCAATTTCTTATAAATTAAAATTTGATATTGAAGCCTTTCAATTAATGAAACCTTGAATTATTTCAAATTGTTTCATAGAGCAAATCAGTTTGGGAAAAGTTAAAGCTTATCTTAACCCTGATAACGCAGCTATGAAAAGTCAAATTTTCGCGCAGCGATTTGATCTATGAAATAACTTGAAATGTTCTAAGTTTCAGAACATTTCAAGTTATTTCATAGATCGAATCGCTGCGCGAAATTTCAACTTTTCCTGGGCAAGCTAAGTGAACAATGAAAATGAAACATATTTCTAGATGTTCCATAGATCAAATCAATTCGCAAAAAAAAGTTTTTCCCAAAAAAACTATTCAAGCTAAAAAAAACTTTACAAGTTAATTCATGGACCGAATCGGTTCGCGAAAAAATTAGTTTTTCTTAGCAAGCATTTGAAGCTACGAAACTTTGAATTATTACAAGTCAATTCTTACACTGAATCGGTTTGCGAAAACCTTCAAGTTTTTTGAAGCAAGCTATAAAACTTTGAAATAATTCAATTTATTCCGTGGACCGAATCGGTTCACGATAATTTTCTGTTTTTCAGAAGAAGCTTTTAATGCTACAAAACTTTGATTTATTTCAAGTTAACTCATAGACTGAATCGGTTTGTGAGAAGTTTGTTTATCTAAGCAAGCTTTTGAAGCTATGAAACTTTGAATTATTTCGAGTTATTTCATAGACTGAATTGGTCGAGTTATTTCATAGACTGAATTGGTTTATGAGAAGTTTGTTTTTCTAGGCAAGCTTTTGAAGCTATGAAATTGTGAATTATAAGTTTTTTCAAAGACTGAGTCAATTCACGAAAAGCTTAAGCTTTTTGAAGAACTCTAGTCAAAATATGAAACTGAATTATTTCAAGTTTTTTCATAGATTTAATCTGTTCGCGAAACTAGGTTTTTCTAAGCAAGCTTTCAAAACTAGTAAGCTTTGAAATATTTCAAGTTACTTTATAGACTGGATCGGTTCCCGAAAAAGTTTTTCTTGGAAAGTTTTTTGAATCTATGAAAAGTTGAAATGTTTCCTTAATTTCATAGACCGAATAGGTTCGGGAAACTTTTTTTTAGCATTGAGGTTGCTATTTTTAAGTAATTCTTTCCAGACTGAACTTTTGACAGTTCAAGACAAAAATGAAATGAAAATTTAGACAAAAATTAGGCAGGTACTGTCTAGCCTTGAAGTTGGATCGAGTTCATCTTCTGATGGTTGCTCTCAATGCTTCTTAAACGTTACGCTCGATAGCCTTTTAAACATTGCCTCCTAAAAAAATTCTTAAGCATTGTGTTCAGTTAAACATCGCGTCCATAGGGTGGCCAAATCAAATTAATTTTTCAAGCTCTGCCAAAGCACTAAAAAGTCAAGTCCCTGCTTTGGCCAAAATTTCTGCGCCTCAGGCATAATTTTCAATAAACAGGCTGAAAAAGTCAGTTTTAGGCACTTTTTAAAAATTTTGAAAAAAAAATTGCGTTTTTTCGGCGCGCGCTCCCCCTTCAAAATTAGTATATATTGGCACCGAAGGTAAATAGTTGTAAATAGTGAGTTTTAGTCACCATTGAAAAAATAGTGACCAATTAGTGACCAATATTGACTGGTAACTAAAATAGTGACTATGTGGTCACCCTGGATTAAGGTGATCAGGTCTCTCCAAGGGGACGTTGTGGAGATCCAAAAAAATGGCCTCTGACGCATGTAGTACTCAAGTTGCTCGGTTTTCTGTGTTGGACCCTGAAAAGCATATACATTTTCGATTACCTGAATAAATTAACCAAAAATTTACGAAAGGCTGACCTCTCCACTTAAACGGAATCAACTACAAAGTTTACGAGTGATATGTTACAATAGGTGCTAATTTTAAGTAACGAGCATGTTTTAAATTTGAGAACTATAATGCATATACATTCATTTCATTTCCAACCAATTGTACATGCTGCTAAGATAGTTTTTGTAAATACATCACTCTGCAAATGTTACTCAAAAACTCAAATTTTACTCTTCTTTTGCCAAAAAATATGGCTTCTGAAAATGATATATGCTGTTCGAAGTATGACAAAAAGCTATCCGGCTATTTATCTTGAACCTGTCACCTATTGTAAATATCACCAATTTACGTTACTTTGACAATTATTTTTGCAGTTCTAACCTATTTCAGCTATTACTAAAACAGTAACAGGAAATTTAAAAACTGCAAAAATCGTTTGAAAACTTTTCTATCAATAGTTGTGAAATATATTATTTGTATTTGAAATCATTTTGGTCAGAACAATATGTGCTAAATGCGCAACAACTAGCTCTTTTTGTTATATAGGCATTCGATTGCGCGTTTTTTTATTTTTCTTATTTCCGTAGTAACTTTGTGACGTAACCAGAACAAAAATCACTTAATCAAGCTAACGCGTCGAATTTAGGCACGCCTAGTATTACGTTAGCAATACTTATGTACGTCGGACAAAACGCTTGCTAGTAATATCAGGTCCTTTTTATTTTCTATCTTAGAAAAAAATCTATAATTCGCTGGAAAACATTTTATTAGAAAAGAAAGTATGATTTTATCAAAGTTGCCTTTAGACTCAATATGAAAATTTAAGGGTTGGATTTGAGATAGTTTGATTTAGAACGATTGGTGTTTTTAAGAGAGGTGTCCATTCATTTTGAAAAAGATCTATTTTTCACCTAGAAAGGCCCATTTTATGAATCAACTGTTTAATTAAGTTATCGTGAAAAATGTATTTGCCAAAAACTTTTCAAGATAACCATTGGTTGTCGACCAGGGAGTCCTCTTGCATTTTGAACACGTCTGCTAGCTAGCATTTTTGTTTGTTCTACTCTTGAACCATTTAACTCTTTGACCGGTTTCAAAAAAGAACTCAAAGCTTTAGAGCAATTCAAGCAATTTAGCTTAAACAGTTGAATGAATCTTATTAAAATCATTATATTCACTGGGACATCCGAAAACTTCGATAAGCTTTCTTAAACAAATCTGTGAAAATACTAAAAGGTTAAATGATTTTTAAATTTTTTGTAAAACTAAAACTATGGTATGCATCAAATTATATATTCTGTGATAAACATAGCCAATCGAAGATTGGAAAAGAGTAATGAGCGCAAAGGAACATAAAAACACTGACTTTCTTGAAAAAAAATCCAACTTTTGAATTTCAAAAACAACAGATGCCCTTTAAGCTCTTCGAATTTCTAGAACAATTTATGATGGTGTTTTCTTGATAAAATTAAACCAACTTGAGATAACTGGATCACGTTCGTATTTGGAGAGAGCTATTTACGTAACTTTCAGCAGGTGAATTTCATTTGAACTCAAAAAGTGCATATATACCTAAGAGCATTCATGAATGCATCAATATGTATGAACGCACATCTGCAATTATTATAGACTTTTCCTGAAAAAAAAAAAATCAGCATGACCTATATATAGGAGTCTTCGCTACGTTCATTACTCTTAATAACAGTTCACAAAAATCAGCAAAAACAAACGGCAGCACCATGATATGAATACAATTTACATTGCAAATTAGTTGAGCAACATTTTGTGAAAAAAATCTGATTCAAACAAGAGAAGCACCAAGCATACTTATTCTACCACAAAAGCGATTGTACAGGATTCCGATAATATATCCGATACCATATACAATAATGACGCTGAGTTTCACCAATAAAAAACAATTGTAAAATCTGATCTTAAATCAGACACATGCTACTTCTTGAAAATAATAAAGTTTCGAGCACCACACGGAGTGATATCCATTTAAAAAACAATAAAAATTGTTTAAAAAAACTATAAAAATTAATGGCTTCAATTTAAATTTTTCCGAAACTTATAAATTTTTCTTTAGCAATTTAAATTTTACTTCAGTCTGTTTTTAGCAGCTTTTCTTGCCAATTTTATGGACTTTTCGCAATTTTGTGAGAAGAATTCAAAAGCAATTTTTTGGGCAAATCTATTTGCTACAAAAATTCATCAAATTAGTCGTGAAAATTTAGATTGTTTGTGTTTTGCGCGGAACTTGGAAAGTTGAAATTAATTATCGTGTTAACTCTGTACTTTGGCGTCGAATCAAATACCGCCGGAACAATTTAATTTCTTTTTTTTTTTTCAATTTAAATTGCCCGACTTAAAAAAAAATTTTCAATTAAATTGAGTGGGCTCGTAATTTCACCTTCAAATAAATTGAAATTTGAATGAAAATTTAAATTAAATTTTTAAATGGACATCAATGTTCACAAGCATTGTTAAGTAATATTAAATGTATTCTCCGTATTCAAAAGTAAAAACAAAACACATCAGTTAAGAAAAAACCATAATGCGAAAAGACAACTAGCTTACTCGAGTTCGTTTTGTTAGATAAAATAAAAAAGCGTGATCTTTTTGAGAGCTTGCTACTTTCCTAACGGCTTTTACGCAATGGAAGAAAAAGAGCCTATTCTTTCCGGTTCAGTTTGATTTGAAGTTCGTACATCGGCAAAATACGGTCTGGATTGAAAATTACTACATATTTACATTTGGGGACATAATGTGAGTCACAGAAAGTGTCTTGTGAACTAATTGCACTCGTCCAATAACTTCCGCCAAATTGAAACATCTGCAAAGCATTCCTAGATCCCTTACAACAGCCAAAGTCATCAACTGAGCTTTTTCCTTTTAACACTTTGCATAAAACGACGTTGAGAACTTCTTTTTGGCGTTGGTCTCGCGAATGGGCATAAAACATGGCAGTCTGGGGTAGCTCCCCAAAATATATTCCCCATCCAAAAGCTCCAGAGCGAATTCGGTCCAATTTGAAATTGTCTTCAAAAATAGAGTGAATATTGTCAGCAGTGGTTCCATGATACAGCCATGACTCTGCCGCTTCTTCGCTGTCCACGCCATATTGACATTGCAAATTCAGTTTTTCCAATTTGAATCTGTTTTCCAGCTCCATGTTCCAGTGGTGAAAGGCAGCAACTATTCGAACCTGAGCTGGTCCTGCATTCAAACTTTGATACAACTTCTCAGCATTCACATTTTCCTCCAATACGAGCCTAGGTAGAAAATGGAATTATTCAAGTAGCTACTTACTGTAACAAAAAAGCCCGTGATAGTCTACCATTCACAGCAATGAAAGAACAAGATAAAAGTTTAACAGAAAGTTAATACCACAAACTTATACTCACTCTGAAAACGTTTCAAGTTGAGCCACGGTTTTTTTTCTAAATGTGAAGCAAAACACAAACAACAAACATGACTTCCCTTGTCTTTTATTTCACGCGCACACTTTGAACACTGCACACTTTGACCACTACGTTGCGTGCTTTCAGAGTAATTTGATTTTTCAGAAAGTCCGACTTGTCAACGAAACTAATTTCAAGAAATATATCGTTGGATAAAAACTCACCGAAAACATTCCATGTAAGAACGCTCATAATGTTGGTCCATATCTTCATCATTTGATGGATGCGGCGCTTGAACCTTGAGAGTCCTCACTTTATTTGAATTCTTGACACAACTTCGGACGACGAGGTAGGAATTATACCACATGAAGTTAATCGGATCTGTTCCTGTCATGTCTAGCAGACGATACCTCACAAACAGTCTCTGCTCTAGCAATGCCGAAATCTCCTGGTCATTATTGGCTCTTTTCACATCTTCAGTCAACCAAATAAAAGTTGACACCATTCGCTTGACTTCCTCTTCTAATTTGGAGGTATAATTTATGTTTTCTATTAGCATCTCTTTCCATTCTTCCATGCTCACGCTTGGTTCCGGTACTAACTAAATAATTATCAAATAACATTGAGCCCGAAACAGATTTAACAGTTTTAATCAAGGGGGATTTCGTAAATGCATGTTTCAACAATTGGCCCACACAACCATAGGAGAGTTCATTTGCTACTATTTTACACCCAGTCGATACCTCACGAACTGTTTCTGCGCCAAAGATGTCGAAATCTTGTCACTATTAACCGAATCTCCTTTACTGAATCTCATTTTAACCCTAACCTTAAGAAACCTCGTTAAATCAGATTCCACAATTAAACTATCGGAATGGTTAGAGTTGGTTAGAGTGATACATAAAATTCGAACAATTTCGCTCGTGATTTCGAACAAAATTTAGAAGTTTCCAACAATTTTTCTGCGCCAAGAAAAACCAATTTGATTATTGTTTCGGCCCTATTTTGACAATCGGACAATGTGAACATTAATTTTATTTATTAAAATTTGCAGGTGGGGGTAAAAGTCAAAAGATCGCACTTTTGCTATTTCGGATTAGAACCACGGACCTCGAGAATAGGAGTCTCACACCCTCTCATCTGTGCCACGGGCTCTTGAATTATTGATAACACTAGCCCCACCAATTGAGCAGCAGAAATTGCCATAGAGGCGAAGCTGCGCTTCATAAACACTAGCGAGAACACGAAAAAAAGCAGCTTTATAAAGTGAAATAAGAAAAGATAGAAATAAGCCTCGAAATAATTTAACTTTGCTACGTATGAGCTTCGAACCAGCGATCTCAAGAATTGAAGTCTCACGCTCTGCCCTCTCGGCCACCAATGATTAACAATCGGTAAACACTAGTCACAAATAAAGCAGCTACATATGTTAACAAATTGCCAATGTTATGCAGCAAAAGTAACACCAAATACAAAAAAAACACAATTTTGCAAGCAATTGTTTGAAATATAATAATCTGGAAAGCATAAAGCCACATTAAGTATCAATTACGCCTTTCAAAAAAACTGCGAGATACATTGAGCTAGAAAAATGCTGAAATCGAGTTTTTGATTGATAGCTTTTTTTTGGTCTATCTGATGAATTTAAAATGTATCAACTGTTTTAACTTATTTCTATTCGAATGTCAAAGCACATGCTATTAAAAAAGCCGTTAAGGTGCCCCAAAATTGCGCCAATATTTACGACTTAAGTTAAAAAAAAAGAATACTCGTAGTATAACACTAACGCTCACTAAAGTTCGCAAGTGTAAAAAAACACTAGCCACCAATATGAAACTTCCAATGCTACAGATCGTAATTATATCAAAAATGCCACAAACTGAGCACTTTTATATTTGCGACTCTGAATAAAAAAAGAGTCGACTCATAATTCAAGACTTTGATCGCTAGCTCTCCTGTGTAAATAGAAAGCGTTATAGTTTGAGACAGGGAATTAAAATGACGAATTACCTTGCTTCAGTTCAATTTCGACAATTTTGAGCGCGGCATAATACGCAAAGAATAAATTATTCGCATTAGGCTTTCTACATCATTGACAAATTCTTAAAAGGGAGCATAAACTGTTCCAAGAGTTTGGCGAATTAGAAATCTTCAAGCCCCCAAAAACTCAACCACAGATATTTTACCAAAAAAGATTGCAGGTAAAATATCTTTTTAATATTGATCCACACTTAAAAAGTCTTTGAGAAGTAGGACATTTACGTGTTGGGAAACAGATGGCAAACTAACCAATTGAACTTGTTCACACGTGAAAGGATAGTGTTGCATATCACAGGAAATACAGGTGTAATTTTTGCAGATTGGACACTCGAAATTTCCAATCTCCTTTTGATCTGAGAAACACCACCCGCCGCATTCGGTCGTCTTGCACGTAATCACATGTTGCTTTATGTATCGTGATTCACCTGGGAGCAGTAGGTAGGTAGGATCTCTCTTCACCTGCATGAGCAGTTTTAAGGAATCAGTCGAGATTCTTGCCCTGCTCTAAAAACAATTCTAGGTCTAAAGCAAAGCAAAATATTTTTGAAAATCCCCCATTCTCGAGAATAACGTGTATCCGTCCGCATCTCCTCGCGCAGCATGTTCATGCTATACGCACTTACAAGGCACTTGCTTTCGCAAGGGCAAAAAGGATATCATGGGTACTATAGCGGCCAGTAGGAGCAATATTACAGTAGGTGGCAACTTTGCAGTGTTGCATGTGTTAAACTTGAGAACTATAATGCATAACATACTCATTTAATTCTCAGTCAATTGTACATGCTATTAGGATAGTTTTTGTAAATACAATATTCTGACAGATAATTCAAATTTTACGCTTCTTTTGCAGATCATTCGGCCTTGAAAAAGATTATAAATACTGTTCGAAGTACAAGAAACGACTCAGATACTTAACTTGAATCTGCCACCTACTGTTATAACGACTAAAATCTGACAAGACTGCTCGTATCAGGGCGAAGCCCTGAATGTTCCGACTGCCTTTTAAGGTTTATGGAGCAGCAGTAATAACATTTAAAAAATTAAATGAAATAAAATAAAATGAAATATTTTTTTTCTAAAATTTGAAATTTTTAATGAAAATCATCCCCCCACACGCAATATAAAGTACAAAAAGAGAGATTTCGTTCCTTGTAACAAATCAATTATGGCAAATAAGCTTCGTTCAACCAATTTGGAACGATTTATAGGACGGATTAAATCTCCGCTTACACGTTAATAGCGCGAATTATATCGCTCGTTAATTGTCCCAAATTGGTCAAAATGGCAATCTTTAAACCCTCATAACTTTACAAAAAATGAGCACAGGTGAAATATCTTTTCAAATTTAAGCTCAGGACAACAATACCTTTTAAATGATATAAAAAAATTCCGTCAAAAATGGCTAGTTAAAAAGTCGAAATTTGTCTGAAGAAAAAAAAAACCCACCCCGAGCACAAATATTCCGTTACTTTCGTATCGAAAGTCGGAACAAAAATCAACTAAAATCACTACACGAGTGAAATCCGGACGTATTTTTATCTAACTATTGTACCGACGGGACCATGCACGGTCTTCCAAAGTGGCGGTTCCGGCAGATCATACAAGTTGTTATTCCACACTTGGGACATTTTATTTCTTTCAATTCTGGAATGTTAGAAGAAACGCAGCCGATGCACCCTGGAGTGGCGCAGTCCACAGTGACAAACTGCCCCTCTTTCAGTTTTTCGAAATCCTTCTTAGTCAAATTGTACTCCACTTCTCTGTTATCCATGCTACTGTCACACCCTGGATATGGACAGGGCACAGGGTAGCGAGTGGTGCCTAGGAAATTAGACGACAAGAAATTAGACGACCGTAAAGAAACAGAATTTACGGACAACCAGAATTTAATTTAAGTCTGCAAACAAATTTCACGCAAGTTATTGTCTAAATTTCTTTATTTTCTGATCGTCTAACTTCCTAAACCCCGTTACCTACATATAACATTTCCTAATTAATTTCAAGTTTTCAAACTGATTTCAGAAAAACTAAATCTCATTTCAACAAGTATCACTCATTTGGTACTCGCTTAGATGTCTGCTCCTGCCATTTTTAGTGAGTCCCATTCAAAGTGTGGTTTTGAAGTGTGGTCTGCCAGACCACTTCAAATATACTTTAAGCGGATTAAACAAAACAGCAGTTTTTCAAGTGAAGGAAAGCTATTGACATGTAAATTAGAGATAAATTAGACATAAATGACGATTATTCTGGTCTAAACTTGCCTAAAATTTTTAAAGCAACGTTTTACAGATAAAAAAAATAGTGATTTGAGGTGTATGTAAAGTTTAAATTTCGGCCTGAAGTCCCTTCGGCTTGCTGTCCTAGACCCCCTCATGATGGAGGTACCGAATGCTGGAATATTATTTTCAGTTATTTTCAGCCAAGCAGAACTCAAAAATCCAAAAGAAATTGCAAAAATTTCAAAGAAAGCGAACAAATCCAGGCCATTAAAATTAATATTGACCGATTAGAAAAAAAGCAGATATATGAATTTCCAAAAATTGCGAAATCGAAACCAGGCATTAGAAAAAACCAAATTTAAAAATGAAAAATAAAACAAGTCTTATTATATACCAGTACGAATTGTACAGCAAAACTCTCCGTTAATAATGATCCGTTAAAAATTTTCCGTTAATAATGACTTCGATTTTGTGCAATACTTATAGCCAATAGGAACGTCTAACGATTCTGATTGGTCAAAAGTTTTCCATCATTCGGCCAAAGTTTTCCATCATTCATCAAAAGTTTTCCATCATGAAAATAACCATTATGAAAATAACTAAATACTCAACTTTTGGAGTGCAGCCTGTCTGTGAGGAGACAACTGCGTTTTCATATTGGTTAGTATATCTAGGAAAACATAAACTAAAAAAATAATTTGTCTTATTTTCAATCATTCTCTACCCGAAATCAAACATGGTCAGAAAAACATGATCCGAGATGAAACTTTAATAGTTTGGTTTTATCTTAATCTTCTTGCATTAATTTAAGTTTATTTTATTTATACTGGGACGGGGACCATAAACTTCTACAAAAGCACCTTAATTTGAAAACGAACAAAAAATGCTAAAAACAAAATTCTATAACACGCAAAAAGAAAGAAATTTCTTTATTATCAAAAAATTAAAACTACAATCGGAAGGAAAACCAATGAAAATTACCAAATACACAACAAACGCGCTAGCTGATCTAGTGATTTTTGTTCTACGGATATGAGAAAAATAAAATGGGCCATCAAATGCCTATATAACAAAAAGAGCTAGTGGTTGCTCATTTAGCACATAATGTTCTGACCACAATGATTTCAAATACGAAGAAAATATTTTCCAAATATCAAAAGAAAAACTTTCAAAGGATTTTTGCAGTTTTTTAATTCCCTGTTGCTGTTTTAGTAATAGCTGAAATAGGTTTAGAACTGCAAAAATAATTGTCAAAATCACGTAAACTGGTGATATATACAATAGGTGGCAGGTTCAAGATAAATAGCCGGATCGCTTTTTGTTATACTTCAAACAGCATTTAACATTTGTTTCAAAAGCAATATTTTTTGGCAAAAGAAGAGTAAAATTTGAGTTTTTGAAAAACATTTTGTCCGGCAGAGTAATGTATTTACAAAAACTATCTTAGCAGCATGTACATTTGATTGAAAATGAAATTACTATATTATGCTGTACAGTTCTCAAACTTAACATGCACTGTAATTTAAATAACCACCTATTGTAACATATCACCTTTCAAAATAGTTCTAGTAAGTTTCACAATCGCCTGCCTCTTAACACCAAAATAAACAATTACACCATTAAAACAGAGGTTTTTCCAAATAATGATGAAGTCCATTAGCCTAGTTAGTACAGCCTGCAAGAAAAAGGTGAGCTAAAATGTTCGCGATTAGTTTTAGATGCTAGGAACATCCTGAAAAGTTTCGTAAATATTTCGAAATCTTAAAACTGAGACTCACATGGTCAGTGTGAACTCGCAACTTTATGCAGGAATCTAAAAACAGGTAGTTATATAGGAGGAAGCAAAATAAACATTACACTTCGGTGGTAATTTTAACTACAATGCATGTATTAAATTTGAGTACTACCATTTTATTTTCAATCAATTGTACTGCTGCTAAGATAGTTTTTTAAATACATTAATCTGCCAGATAAAATGTTATTAAACCTCAAATTTTACACTTCTTTTGCCAAAAAGTTTGGTTTTTTTTAAACAAATTGTAAATACTGTGCGAAGTATAACAAAAATGCTCCAGCTTTTTAACTTAAATTACCACCTATTGTAATATATCACCGAATTCTCAATAGAAAGCTCAGTGTTAATTTACTGTATTTATTTATAGGGGTGGAGATTCTTAAGTAGGTACAATAGGGGTGGGATGGGGGGGGGGAATCGTTAAATAGAACGGAAGTGAAGCGGAGCTTCGCATTACTTGCGATACAACAGAAAATAAGCATGGGAGCTAACCGAAAGATAATGCTACAAGATAATGCGAAAGATAATGCCCAAGAATTTCCCGTTTTCTCTAGGATTTTCAATTTGAGGAAAACTTATCAAAAAACAAAACCGATAGCCTTAAATAATGAATAGGAAAAGTTTATCGAGCTGCAACTACACCGAAAGCATTTTGATTGAAGCCCGTCGAGTCGAAAACGAAATGTTTGGAAAAAAAATGGAACACAGAGCCGAAGCAGAGCTTCGCACCACTTGCGATACAGTCAGAAACAAAAAATTGCCAAAAAAGTAGACGTGTCAAAATGGCTCAAGCTGGTTTTCAAAAACAAACGTCCCAAGGCAACAGAATACGAAATAAGCAACGGAAAAAAATTTACCAAATGGTAAAAAAGCCGAAAGCACCTGAGCAGAAACCGTTTCAGCCAAAAAAAACTTCAAAAAGACAAAACTAAAAAAAAATGAACGAGTCGTCCTAACCTTCAACACACCCACAATTTCTTCAGTCATTAAACGATGCAAAATAAGGCCACTATGTGCGATATATAAAAAAAGGTCAAAATCATTTGGGCAGAAAAGTTTTTAACCAAAACAGCAGAAGTAAATTACAAAACAGCTGAAAAAATCAAAACACTAAAAGCAACTACAAGGTAAATTGCGGAGAGCATGAAAAACAATTCTACGATCTGGCAACTATGTTGAGAAAACATAACCAGACAAACAATTCGCCTTCGTATTTTTGAAACGGAAAATTTTGTCATATTGGAAACCAGAACCTTTGCCGTGCCAGGCGCACTCGTTACCTCAGGAGCAAGTGTGCCGGAGAAGCAAAGAAAATTGAATTCATTATGAAATAATGAGCCTCAATTTACCATTTTTAATTTTCGATTTTCTGTGAACAAAGTTTTTTACTGAAAAAAATCAAGTACCCAGTTGCAATACACTTGTAATTAGAAAACTTCATTTCAAAAAATTTTCAAGCATTCCTTAAAAAAGCATACAAAATTCTTTTCCTTAAACGCCGTCATATAAGGCGACTAACCCAACATGACATATGCCGTAACAAATTAAGACCAATACACCTTTTAAGCGAAATTTATAATATTGCATGCGTAAAAACAACTGGTAATTAAATTCGAATGTTCATGAAATTGGGCATGCCAGCACGTAACAAGCTGAAACATGTCGAAAAATTTTTAAGCCAAAAGTCTAGAACCCGTATGCAAAATCCTGGCTTATCACGAGGTAATAAACTACAACAGGACCACCGATGTTAGCAAACACTCAGTTGGAAAAAAATAAAGATCGCAAAAAACATCAGTTTTTAAACTTTAAAACCAAAAAATACGACATTAGGGCTCTTTCAATTTCAAGAACAATTAACGATAGGAGCATTTTTGATAAAATTAGCCCAATTTGAGAAAACTTCAAACTGGAAAAAGGAAAAAAATATATGGTGTTACAGATCTCTCAACTAAAGAAACTTTTAAAAGCTGAAAATTTTTGATAAAACTAACCCGAAACATGACACAGATGAATAGCAAGAGACAAAAATCAGCTCTATAAAAGAAATGAGAAAAAGTAAGGAAAAATAAAAACACTTTCGCTATGTGTCAGTTTCGAGCTTCTGACCTTGGAATTAGTATTCTCAAGTCCTTGCATCTGTGGTATTATCAAGACCTCGCATCTGCTGTGCCATGGACCCTTGAAAGTTAACTATCACTAGCCACCAGTAAATCAGCTACAAATCCTAGTAAATTACAATTGCTAAGCAGCAAAAACACCACAAAACATAAATAAAACTAGCGCTAAGTGCTGCATTACGCCTCGGACCAGTCTCACGCCCTCTCTGCCAAGTTCGCTTCAAAAACGGCAAACCATAGATCCCATTGACGCAGAAAAATTGATGCAATGAAATCGTGTATAATCATTTTCGTTTAGGATTTCGGTAGTAAAAATTAGATTCATTTTATTACACTACGCTCGCAAGTGTACAAGCTGGTTCAATATGTAATTTTTGATTCCAGGGGAAATCTGAAATTTAAAATTCAATATGGAAACTAGAAGACCAGGACCTTCTTTTTACCATTCTCACTTTTCAACTTTTCCAGACCATGAAAGTTTTACAATGCTTCTTAGTTTAAATTACCATATGAACAACTTCAAGGCAACTTTTCCTTGTGAATTTACGAGGGGGTAAAACACCGCAAAAGCCCACTTTAGTTAATGTAGAATGCATTTTGCCTCCCTTTTTGCAAATGAATATGAATTTGAACTAAAGAATGATAAATCAAACCACAGATAAAAATTATATTTGAGCGTGAAAAAAGTTTTCCGATAATTAACGAAAAAAAATCAACACGACGTAAATAAGTCTCTTCATTTGTTCGCTGACACTGAAATTAGGGAGATAGTGATGCCCGCAATTAATTATATAATATAAGTTGCTCTTTCCCATCCCGCCTTTTCCCACTCGAACTCCTGGTAAGACTACAGTATTAAGTTGTCTTAGACAAGTTCATATGCCAATTTTTTTAGTTCTCATATCAGAAAAGTTATTCAGATTAATTTACTGCATTGTTTAGTTTGATTTATTGGGTCATTTTGACTGAAATGGGTAGAGAAAAAATAAAAGAGCCACATGTTTTTTTTCGGAACAGCCAGAGGAATTGGAAAAACTAACTTTTGATTCTGCTCAGGAAGCATTCTTTGCACATGGCATGTAGGTCGTGGACAAACTCTGACATTTCGGAAGTCAACAACCGTTTGCGACAAATGGCGCAGGTTTCATAAGTAGAAGTAGCCTTGGTGTTATCTGGAGATGATTCAGCGTAATCTAGTTTCTTTGGTGATTCCCGCGGTGTGACCATGTCTATTGGCACTGAAAAACTAGCCGCGTCCAAGTGCACTATGCAATCTGGGGGTATTAAAGCTGTGCTATAATAGTACATCACTTAAATTGGGCTTTTCTACCCCCACTTGATATAAAATTCAACTTAACGGTGCTTGCACTGATATTACGAGTGCAAACAAAATGTGATATCAGTGCAAGCATTGTAAATTTAACTTTTAAATCAAGTGGGGGTAGATGAGCCCAATTTCGGTTATGTACTATCATAGCACACAATGTATTATTATAGGTGTCCACAAAAGCTAATTTGTTCATCTCACAAAGTTTGATTGCACGATGACAACGCTAAAATTGATATCGAAAAATGAAAATCAAATGTTTAAGAGAGGGGGCTGTAACGAGCCTACACGTTGTGTCTACTAATAAGGCCAGTTTTAAATCGGACGAGATACAACGATATAACAAGACATTGCAAAAACATAAGACATGAAACTGACAAAAATTCACAATGACTCAGATACAAATTGCACACGACTTGCGATACAACTTGATCTACCAAAAAGAATGAAAATAATTGTGAAAAACAAAACGTGCCCAGAGAATAGAATTCAAAATAAGCATAGGGACAAAACTTACCGAGGGGTAAAAAGCCGGAAGTAACTGAGCAGAAACTATATGCCGAACAAAAAAACGTTAAAAAATTCATAACTTAAACATTTTCAAGTCTCGCTTCCCCTCAGAACACACACACACAAAAACGTTTGTCGCTTAAGAGGCTACTAAGCCAAACAAAATAAGTCGAAACCTATAAGGCCGAAGGAAAAAAATTTAAACCGCGTAGGTATAACTTTCAACATTAAAAAAAAACAAATTTCGAACATGCTCAAAAAATTTCAGTTGCAATATAAATACCCATTAGAAGAAAGAGTCCAGAATCCAGGAGATCCTGTGAATAAAGTTACTTAAGGGAGAAAAAAATCTGGTACCCGATTGCAATACCCTTGATGATTGAATGCGCAATAAATTTTCAGTAACTTTTTCGGCTACGCATTTTGTAGCTATACACTTACACTACACGTACTCAACCAAACCTCTGCAAGAAAAAACACATACATCGATAAGCATCGCGGGAGGGGGAAGGGGTACGTCAGTTAGCCGAGCTGTCACCGATCCAAAAATCGGTTGTTACCGTTAAAATTATACTAGCGTTTAACGCACCTCCGGTGCTTCGAAATTTTTCGACAACTCATGAAAAACCGCATATATTGGAAATAACATCTGAAAACTTTTAGTGTACTCTGACTGCACCCAATTACAGGGTTGGTAATTGCAAACTTTTAAATTTTTTTAATTCCCATTTTAAAAGCGTCATCTCGAAAACTTAATGGGCCTCTGGAGAAATTTGGAGGCCAGATTTGCAACCACTGAGAGTCCCTGAGAGCACCCTACTATAGGGTTAAAATTTTTTAAACCTAAATTTACCGAAAAAAAAATTTTTTTTTTTAAAAAAAGTCTTTTCTCGGAAACTAAAAGGATTTGAGCATTCATATTAAGAGGCAAGATTTGAAGCGCCTGGGTGTACGCTGACAATAAGGTTGTATCTTCATCAAGTTAGTAGTTTCAAATTTTTTAAATTTCTTTGTAGATAAGTTCTTTGAGCAATTTTGAAAAAATCAAAAAACGTCATATTTCGGAAAATACAAGCATTCGAGCAGTCGCGTTTAGCAGTCGCATGTGGCAAGATTTGCAACTCTTTAGAGTACCGCGACGACACCGAACTATAGCGTTGAGAATTTCAAAGTTTGAAAAATAATTAATTTAAACTTTCTGAAATTTTTTGAAAAAATCACAAAAAACGTCATATCTCAAAAACTTTAAAAAAATGTGCAATCATATTTGGAGGCAAGATTTGCAATCTTTGAGGGTACTCTGAAAGGACCCAACTACAGGGTTGGGAATTTCAGATTTTGCGAAAAAAATTAATATAAAGTTTTCTAAAAACTTTTTTTGAAAAAATCACAAAAACGTCATATCTCGAAAACTACAAGGATTTGAACAGTTATATTTGGAGGCAAGAATTGTATTTCCTTAGAGTACTCTGACAGCACCAAACTACAAGGTTCGGAATTTCAAACTTTGAGAATTAATTAAAACTTTCTGAAAATTTTTGAAAAAATCACAAAAAACGTCATATCTCAAAAACTACAAAAAAATGTGCAATCATATTTGTAGGCAAGATTTGCAATCTTTGGGGGTACTCTGAAAGGACCCAACTACAGGGTTGGGACTTTCAGATTTTGCGAAAAAAATTAATATAAAGTTTTCTAAAATTTTTTTTGAAAAAATCACAAAAAACATCATCTCGAAAACTACAAGAATTTGAGCAGTTATATTTGGAGGCAAGACTCGCAATCTTTGAGAGTACTCTGACAGGACCCAACTATCGGGTTGGGAATTTCAGATTTTGCAAAAAAAAAATAAATCAAACTTTAATTTTGAAAATTTTTGAAAAAATCACAAAAAACGTCATATCTCGGAAACTATAAGGATTTGAGCAGTCATATTTGGAGGCAAGAGTCGCAATGCTTGATAGTACTCTGACAGTACCCAACTACAGGGTTGGGAACTTCAAATTTTGTAATTTATTTTGTAATTTGAAATTTCTGAAAATTTTTGAAAAAATCTCAAAAATCGTCTTCTCGTTAACTAAAATGATTCGGGCATTCAAAATTGAAGGCCAAATTTGCATCCCCTAATTCGACATTGGGCTGCTCAATTTAAACTCGGTTAAATAACCATTTTAATCAAATTGGAAAATCGAGAAAAAAAATTCTTAACCATTGCAATATACGATATAGCTTAAACATGCAAAAATAATACGTTGAAAAAGCTTAAACATGGCGAGATAGTGAAGCCCGCATTTAAATATATAATAGATTTTCCTACGAACGCAAGTAGTATAGATAAACAACACTGGGATGCGGGGGGCTATGTATAACCACTGATCCATTTATATAACCAATGATCCCTATGTAAAATTTTCCATCCCTATGTATAACCAATGATCCGTATGTATAACCAAGGATCCCTATGTATAACCAATGATCCGTATGTATAACCAATGATTCCTATGTATAACACATGATCCCAATGTATAACTAATGATCACAACGTATAATCACTGATCCGTATGTATAACCAATGATCCCTATGTATAACCAATGATCCCTGTGTATAACCAATATGCCGATGTAAAACTATTGATCCTTATGTAAAATCAATGATCCATATGTACAACTAATGATCCCTGTGCATAAACAATGATCCCTATGTATAAAGAATGATATCTATGTATAACTAATGATCCCTATGTATAAATAATGATCCCTATGTATAACCAAGGATCCCTATGTATAAACAATGATCCTTGCGTATAACAAATGATCCCTCTGCAGAACTTATGATCCCTGACTAATATAAATAATGTAAGACTAATGGTCCCTCTGTCTAACTAATGATCTCCATGTATGACCAATGGTCTCTAGAAATAAAAAATGATCTTGTGTACAAATATTGATCCCTAATGATCCTTATCTGAAAAAAAAAATCTTTGCGCATAACCATTGATCCCTGTAAGTAACAAGCAATACCTATGTTAAACAAATGATCTCTATGTACAACCAATGACCCCTATGTAGAACTAATGATCCCTAAGAAAAACTAATGATGCCTGAGTATAATCTATGACCAGTGTAAAACTATGAATCCTATGTATAACTTATGATCTCCTCGTATAACCAATGATCTCTTTATTTAACCAATGTTCTCTATCTACATCTCATGATCCCTAGTTGGACCTAATGATCTCTTTGTGTACCTAATGGTCCCTATGCATAACAATCATCATATTTTTAAAGTGATCCCTCAGAATAACTAATGATCCAAAAATTTACAAACTGATCCTCTCTCAGTGTCAAATTAGTTTATTCATGAGTTTATAGTAATTTTGGATTTATGAATGTGGTAACAGAAACAATTTCAGACGCAAAACCATAATCAGAAGTCTAATTTTATGTCAAACTCATTGCACTAGTCTTTATTTTTCTGAAATAATTTATCATTCTTTTATAAGAACTAGTTTTTGTGAATCTTCCCATGTTTTTGTCCATGTAGGTAGAAATGTGTGCATTTGTGTAATTATGCATTGTCTGTAGGTATGCATTGTCTGTGAGTGTTTTAAAAGTTTTCTTGTACGTTTTTCTGTGTGCCTTCGTATTCATGTCGTTAATGAACTAATTGGAAACATGTACTTGTAACTGGAAATCTAACTAAATATATTCAAAGTAACTATTATCACTCTTTGTTTGGAAGATGCAGGGTTCCACTAAAAGTAGGTTCAGCAACAATTTTGTATCAGAAACATTGTAAGATCATTTATTGGGTTACGTTTGTATGTATGTTCGTGTGTTTGTATGTGCTTGAATAGTTGTGAAAAAACTTATTTAGGTTTTTATTGTATGGCTCTTTCCGAAAAAAATTTTCAAGGATATATTTTGTTATTCCCTTAAACATCAACAAGCAACATATTACAATTACTAGAACTCAAATTCAATTTAGTTTTTTTGGTGGTTTATCTATGAAAAATTGTGAAAATTTCACTAAAAACTCCACTTGTGAAAACTTCAGTAATAACACGGTCAAGATTATTCATTTGTATGTAAGAACTTGTTCATGTATATCTATATAGTCATGTGTTTGAAACTATGTAATGTGCGTATGTGTGTTTGTAATTACTGCGTGTTCGTTTGCATATTTGATTGGAATTTGAAGTAGGCTTTTTCATTCTTCTGTATAATTATTCATTCATTTATATGTCGAAACCAACCTTTTTAGACGCTCAATTACCAGATTCAGCAAGAAATACAACCAAAAATCAAACTCTATCCTTTTTTAAAGCAGTTGGCTGAAATCATCAAGAGTATTTCTCAAGATACTTTACATGAACCACACTTGTAGCAAGTACTTTATCTGTACGTTTGTCTAGCTGTGTATATGTTTGCATAATTGTGTAGAGTTTGTATATCTGTATGCTATCTGTGTATTCGATTGTTTTTAAGTAATAAGATTGTTGTTTATGTGTTTATTTTCCAATGGTATTTCTTCTATTATGCTTAACAAAACAACTTGCAACGTATAGCTGTTTGTTGAAAATTAGCTTGTTTGAACTCTAAAATGTTTCTGTACCTGAGTTGTCTAGAAGGATGTAATATAGCACTAAAAATTACGCATATATGTGTGTTTGAGCATGAAACTTTATTGTATTTTTGTTTGTATATATTTGTATGTACAGAAGTTTGCATCATGTAACGTAGTCTGTTTAGAAGTTAAACAATAATTAAGATAACAAGAACTCAAATCATTCTAATTTGGATTCCGGATTTGTCAGGTAATTCTAAAAAAAAACTCATTGGATCTAATTATGTACGATTTATGTAATAATTTAGGCATGTATGCTCCTCTGAACTAGTAATTCATTTTGTACAAGAGCATCAAGACCGTAAGACGTCTTGTTTGCGAGGTAAAATTTTGAGCCGTTTAAAATAAAAAAAAACATTTTTTTTTGAAAAACAAATTTTTGATTTCTTTGTTGTTCCTGTAGTTTGAACTTTTCTTAAATTACTAATAACTTGCAAATTGCAGATAATTTTGTAAAGACTATATTTGTTCATAGTATTGCTTTTTGTTATTTTGTCAAGAAATTGAAAACTTTTTGCTGTTTGAAATTTCCAAAAATAGCAAAAAGTTATGAAACTAGGTATTAAACTGCAACTCAACTGTCACAACGTTTCTCCTCATCTGTTATAGATTAAAGCAAAATTGTATACCATGAATCATGTATATCTTCCACAATTATAATCACACAATCACATACGCAAACATACATACATCAGTACATACCTACAAATTACTTGTGTAACTATTTCAGTCGCCCAAGAGACATTGAAACATACTTTTTTCATGAAATTCTACAATACTCCAGTTTTGTGTCTTGTGTGGAGCTATGGTGTATTCTTTCTCTTTCTCTTTCTTTCTTTCTTTCTTTCTTTCTTTCTTTCTTTCCTCTTTTCTTTCTTCCATCCTTCCTTCCTTTCTTTCTTTCTTTCTTTCTTTCTTTCTTCCTTCCTTCCTTCCTTCCTTCCTTCCTTCCTTCCTTCCTTTCTTTCTTTCTTTCTTTCTCTTTCTATCTCTTTCTATCTCTTTCTATCTCTTTCTATCTCTTTCTTTCTTTCTTTCTTTCTTTCTTTCTTTTTCTTTCTCTTTCTCTCTCTCTCTCTCTTTTTTTTCTCTCTCTCTCTCTCTCTCTCTCTCTCTTGTTTCTCTCTTTCTGTCTCTCTCTCTGTGTATCTCTTTTCTCTTCTCTTTTTTTCTCTTTCTCTCACTCTCTCTCTCTCTCTCTCTCTTTCTTTTCTCTCTCTCTCTCTCTCTCTCTCTCTCCCTCTCCCTCTCCCTCTCCCTCTCCCTCTCCCTCTCCCTCTTCCTCTTCCTCTTCCTCTTCCTCTTCCTCTTCCTCTTCCTCTTCCTCTTCCTCTTCCTCTTCCTCTTCCTCTTCCTCTCCCTCTCCCTCTCCCTCTCCCTCTCCCTCTCTGTATCTATCCCTTATCTGTTTTTTTCTCCTCTCCCTCCCTTTCTCTATCTCTTTTCACACTCCTCTATCTCTTTTCACACTTCTCTCTCGCTCGTTTCATCTAGCTATCACTTTAGCAAGGTATCTCTCTATATAGCTAGCTATCTCTGGAGCATTGAAACCTAAATACTATGCATTGCATGTATATATACCAACTTCGGTAACGGGCAAAAAGAAAAATTCACTGACTGAATTTGTTTTTATCCTACACAAAATAACATTTGGGATTATTGCCATTAAAATTTTTACCTTGGTATCAATTGGTATAAAGTTTCATATCAGGATCTCTTCAGGAAAGATAAATCACAGAAACTGTTTGGTACAAAAAATCAGATTGAGATCTTTGATATACACAACAATCATTAGATAGGAAAAGGGATCAAAAAATCTTCATGGCTATCATTACATATTTATAAGGTTCATTACCATTACGTTTTAACATTTAGATCATTTGACACTCATTTGTAAATTTTCGGATCATTAGTTATACAGAGATCATTGGTTATACATAGGGATCATTGGTTATACATCGGGATCATTGTTTATACATAAGGATCTTTCATTATACATAGGGATCATTGGTTATACAGTTGGAAGGAAAACAATCAATGTACCATGGTAAAAATGAAGCGCTTTCGTGACAATGACATCATCAGTATTAACTCTGAAGTAAGTCGGCTTTGTAAGCCACTTCAGAAAATTGCGTCTAGCCATACGGATCAATAGTTATACATAGGGAAAATGCTTATATATACGCATCATTGGTTATACATAGGGATCGTTGGTTATACATAGGGATCGTTGGTTATACATAGGGATCATTGGTTATACATATGAATCATTGGTTATACATAAGGATCATTGGTTATACATAAGGATCATTGGTTATACATAAGGATAATTGGTTATACATAGGGATTCATTAGTTAAACAGGGATTTTGATTATAAATAGGGATCATTGGTTATACATATGGAACATTGGTTATAAACACGAATCATTGGTTATACGTTGTGATCATTGGTTATACATACGGAGCATTGGTTATACATAAGGATCATACGGTATACATAGGGATCAATTAATTACATAGGGATCATAAGTTATAAAAACGGATCATTGGTTATACATAGGGATCATTAGTTATACATAGGGATCATTGGTTATACATAGGGATCATTGGTTGTCCGTTGTGATCATAAGTTACACATAGGGATCATTGGTTATTCATAGGGATCAATGGTTATAGATAGGGATCAATAATTTTACATAGGGATCATTGGCTATACATACGGATCATTGGTTATACATAGGGATCTTTGGTTATACATAGGGATCATTGGTTATACTTAGGGAACAATATATATACATAGGAATCATTAGTTATACATAGGGATCATTAGTTATACATAGGGATCATCAGTTATACACATTTTGAAAAAAAACTTTTTGGGGAGATTTTAAGAGAAAAAATTTTTTGGAAAATTTTTTATAAAGGGATCACTAGGAATAAATAATTACACAGGGATAATTAGGTATAATCTATACCCAGTCAATGCGATTTATTCAAACAAGCTGGTTGAATATAAAATTTTCAAGCAAACGCAAAGCTGATCTTCACACCACTTCCGATACAAACTACGAAAGACGCTAAATTGGAAAAAAAATCGATGTCACAAAAACCAGATCTTTTAAAATGAATAAGGCTAGTTGTGGAAAAAACTTGAAGACAAAAGAATATGAAATAAGCATCGGAAAAAAATTTATCAAACAGTAACAAAATGTATTAGGCCGAAATTAAAAAACCGAAAGCAAAAGGTGAAGTTGCGCTTCGCATACACAAGCAAAAATATGGCCGATAACGCTACTGGGAAAAACTGAATGAGTAAAATTTTGAGTCTACAAAATTTCTTAAGTGATGAACGCCAATTATGAGCTTAATTAATTGCTTTGTGACGCCAGCCAAAAATTACGCATTACCAGTCAATATGAAAAGATTAACCAACTAACATTCCTTAATTTATACAGCGGACGCATTTTAACTAGTAGACGAAAAAATTCATTAAAACATCCGCCCCTGCCCAGGTTCGAACCTTTTGTTTTGTTGCGGGTCTCCTTTGCTACCTCTGTTGCCTTGAAGCTAAATAGCTAGTTTTAATATAATAGTCTCCTTAGTATCTATAGGATAAAAATTGATATCTATAGCATTGGCTGTACTTAATAGCTGTTTTTTGATCAAAATGAACATTTTCAAAATGAACACTAATATTAGCGACTTAGGTTTAAAAAAAAGAGTTCATATTATCAGAAAAGCTTCGCTTGTGTAATAAGCCTAAATCTATCCAGCGCAAAAAAGGAACATAAAAAAACGAAAATTGTTGTCATGAAAATCTATATTTTCTATGAAGATTTATAACATTTTGAGCAATCTAGAGGGGCGCATAGAAATTATATTTCCCTTGAAGTCAAGCAAGGCAAAGTTAAGCAAGCGAAAAAAATACCTGTGAAGGAGAAACATCGAAGCATTTATTACGCCTTACTGGCATATATAGTTTTTCCGATTTATTGCAATACAATTCAAAATATATTGGTGTTTATTGCAATCTGTCGAAAAATTCAATTTTCGGAAAGCAATTAATTGCCCATTACCAGAAAATTAAAAGCTTTTCAATATAGCAGAAAAATCTTAAATTAAAGGCAGATTCGGCAATCCGGCATTCCAGCTGACAAAAAAAACAGAAGTCAGACGACCAAAAAAAAATTTTCGTCAGATTTTCTCAGTAAATTAAGCACACAAACCTTTTTGTAAAGCGGAAAAATTTCAATTCCTAAAATAATACAGGCGTTGAAGAGATTCAAACCAGCATTCTCAGTCTTGCAGGCATATGCATTTCCTCTCCGCTACATTTTCGCCTTAACGCGTGTATTTTGATTCTATAGGAACCGAGGTGTCAAAAGATCAAGTGAGCTTGTTAAGCTATTGGCTAGCCGTATAACACTTCCTTCTACAACTTCTAGGTCAAAAATCCTCTAAACGGAAAAAAATCTGTGAATGCCACATTTTTCAGTCTAAGAATCTGATTATTTTCAATTTACGACATACACCAAAATTTTTGAAGTGTACCAGAAATACATGAAATTAATTTACATCAAAATGAGCTGAAAACCAAATGAAAAGCTTATAAAAAACACCCGGCCGCCAAAAACTGAGACGAAAAAGCCGCAGAGAAAAATCTATTCATCTTTGAAAATCATTTATCAATTTAAGCTCTAGAAGCAACCTTCTACATCATATACGAAAAAAGACAGACTTATATTTACAAGTTTCAATTCAGCATTTTTTAAATACAATTTATCAGCATCAGTAGAATATTACAGCAAAACGATTAAAATATCGTAAATAGAATACATAAACCTTGCTGGGATAACTAAGTCGACATACAACAGTCGGTCAACTGATAGCCTGCCCATTAGTTTTTACAGTAGATCATTTTCAGCTTGCAAAATAAGGTCTCAGCTCGATTCAAATCTGAGAACTATGAAAACCAGAACAGTGACTTTATCTCTGCGGCAACTAAGTGAAATCGGACGCTGTACTTGAAAATTAGGCTATCAATTGATTCAGTGAGACTGTAGACAAGTTTTGATCTGAAAAAGTCTACGTTCCGAATTGATAAAGCTTGCTAATCACAAGCTAACAGGGTTAAAAAAAATTGAGCTACCAAAACGATCGTACACAATATTTGATATTTTTACTCTAAACAACACGACCACGAGTTTGGAGCATGCGGCCTTTTCTTCAACACTTATACTAGATGACAGTGTCGTCATTGAAAAATGTTATAGAACTCGAGGATCAAAAAACTAAACTTTTTCAATTTCAAATTTTATAGATTAAATTACTGCTCTTCGAATTTTAATTATAGAACTTTTTATCATCGAAGTTTTTATTATCGCCTTTTTTTTAATAAAATTGTTAAAATAAAGTTTTAAGTTATCCAATAAAATTTAAAGTCAATTTTAAAAATCTTTTAAAACCTTAAAATAAAATGTTTATTATCGAAGTCATTTTTACTAAATCAACATTTGCGAAAAAAAAAAAGAAAATAGATTATTTTAGGATTCCAATTCCAGGAGCCCTGAAAATTGAAAACCGCATTTAAACCTCCAGAAAAAGAAGCAAAATCCGTTAAAAAAATTTGCAAGTTTTCTGAAAAACAAGAACATGAAAGTTATCCGATCTTCATAAATCATAAATTTATTCATTAATATTTAAACCAATCAGAGCGATTTTTTCTTTAGCGCTAAATTAACACATTTAGTGCAAAGCAATCTCAAGATCTAGCTTTCAGAATTCATTAAGAAAATGGCTTTGTATTATATCACTGCTTGGTTTGTATAAACTAGAAAGGCGAGATCAACTTCTAGGCGAGATTGATCAATAAATTCATTAAAATTTGAGGGTCAATAGTTGACACTGAAATTGCCTTTTCTTTTTTTTTCTCCCGCTTTACAAAAATGTAGATTTTTGTGAAAACAACAATTTTACTAGTGTATGTTGGAGTTACGTTGCTTAAAAAATGAAAATATCAGTTGATTTGGAGTATGGGCAAAAATTAAGAATGAAAATTGCGGGTAAAAAAAAAGAAAAAAGGCCCTAGACTAAATCTATATCTAGATAATACGGATTCCAAAAGACTGATTTTCCGACCATCAAAAACTTTTGAAATCATATCAAACTCAGTTCATGGAAATAAAGTAGTTTGAGAGGCATAAATATGTTATAAATCACGTGGTCGGATCAATCACAACGATATGCCGAATTTAGATAAGCTCCAGATATTAGCTACCGATTAACCCCTGTCCAAACGATCCAAGGCAAACAAAAACTTGTTCTCGTAACAGGATTAGCTCCAAACGTCGGCAGAGTACCTTCCTTTCACTGACATGTTCTTCAAGTATTGAGTAGCCTGTTCGAGACTCATTTCTCCATGAGTGGAAATTATATTCTCGAGACAAGCATAAACATCTCGAGCCATGTTTTTAGCGTCACCGCAAACATAAATATGAGCACCTCGCTTCAGCAAATCCCAAGTAGCTTCACCGTTTTGAGCCAGCCTATTCTGCACATATACTTTGGATTCCTGGTCGCGACTGAATGCTGTGCACAGATGCGTAATAACACCTTGTTCCACCCATGATTCTACTTCGTCTCTGTAAATAAAATCCGTCGCCTCTTTTCTACATCCATAGTATAACACAACTTCTCCCAAAGGCTTTCCTTGTTCCTTCTGCCACTGTTTTTCTTGGAGGAAACCTCTAAAAGGCGCGAACCCAGTTCCAGGTCCGATCATGATTATGGGCACTGAGCTTTTCATCGGAAGGCGAAACTGCGATTTGCGAATAAAACATGCAACTTTATCCAACTGCGATTCCTCTGATTGCTTTTCGGCAGCCTTGTCTAAAAGATACTGTGTGCAAACTCCTTTAACTTCTCTTCCAATAGGAGTTTTGTAATCTACTAATACTGCTGTAATGTGCACGTGACTAGGGTACATTCTAGACGAAGACGATATGGAGTAGTACCTGACTTGTAGTCGAGGCAACAACTCGCAGAGATGGTCAGCTGGAATCTTAACCGAGTCCAGATCTTCCAGTACTTCAACTATAGTTCTGTTTTCTGTCTTGATCCACTCTTTGTACTTTTCTTTTCCTTCTACAGAGCTACTAGACAATTCCATCAAAAACTTTTTCTGCTCTTCATTTGTTGCATATTCAGCTAACTCTCTGCACATATGAGTTGTTGGGTGCGTTGATATATCTAAATAGTGAGAAAAGGCAACCCTGTATGTGGTTGGGCAGGGAAAAGGACTTTTCTTCGAGTCGTCGGGATCAACATTCTCCAAGTTAAACACCTTGTTTAGATCCTCTATTTCGAGAACCTTTGCCAATTTGTTCACAGTATTTTCTTGATTCACCGGCAAAACTGCCACATGATCTCCCGACTCGTATCTTAATTTCGATCCCGTCATATCTAGTTCAATGTGCATGAAATATCTTTCATCATCCAAGTTTAGCTTTCTTTCTGTGATCAAATTTGCCAAGAAAGGGTTCTTGGAATCAAACGGAGGCCTCTGCCTCTCATAAGACTGAAACCTTAGTGGTTCCCCAGTAAACAATCTGTTCGAGTCAGGCACCTCTTTTAGAGCAAACTGCCTAACAGATGTAAATTCTCCAGTTGATTCGATATTGAAGCTCTTACACACAGCTGGCCAAAAGTTATTCTCTTGCCATTGCACAAAATCATCTTCAATGTTTTGATCATCGTCGCCTAGTCCCAATTCACATAGCCTATCTGCTCCTAGTTTGGTCAACTGACTGTCGACGAATTTTCCCATTGAATTGAAGTGCTCGTAGGTTCGATTGCCTAAACCGAAAACACAGTACTTCAGTTCTGGCAGAGAAATATCAGCGTCCTTGAGCCAAGCGTGGAACTGCATAGCATTATCTGTTGGTTCACCTTCTCCGTACGTAGCCATGCAAAAAACTGCGAAGCCTTTCTCCACTTCAGTAGGAAGATCTGCCAAAATATCCCAGTCTTCTACGTTTTCAGTGTCGTATGCAAATCCCTTCATACCGTATTTCTGGGCTGACTTGGCCAAACGCGTTGCGAACTCTTCTGCTGTTCCCGTTTGAGATCCATAAAAGAAAACTATATTCTTCCCAGTGCGTTTCATTTTTTCCACAAAGTTCGCGTCTTGTGAGGCACTGATCCTGCGAATGTTTCCTGAATTGATGTTTGATTGTCTTTGTTGCAGTAGTTTGTCGAGGTCACTTTGGGATATGGAGGATGAGTCGGAAGCATTACGTCTGCGGAATACATAGTAACAGACAGCAAATCCAACCACCGTTGAGAATACTATAAGATTGGTTGAACTTAAGTCGTGTGCCATAACCTTGTCCCAAAATGACCCCACCATGGTTACATCTGAAAGTAATAAGCTGTGCAATAAGACTTAGCTATGACTACAATCAGCTGAGGGCAATATTTGTTCATGCGTTTCTAACACTAGCGTTCAAATACTGCCAAATATTTCTACAAGACTATATTCACATGCTTTGAAATACAAAGAACAAACCATGCAATTTGGAAACGAAAAGATACTACAAACTAAGACATGCACAGAAATCTCATTTCAATCATCAAATCTACATATTTATCATTTTGTACACAAAGCCAATGCCTATGAAGATCATTTACGATACCACAGGAGTTTTCTGAAATATCAATTTTAAATTGCATTGACACAATTTCACATGTTTAATGTCTAAGTCGCAAAATTTCCGTCCTCCTCTGTAATTTCAATATGGCCATTTGAAACATTTTCTTTATCCGTGGATGTTGTCAGAGGGAATCGCAGTGCACTTGACGTTTCATGAAACCTAAAAACAAATTTTTGCTACCACTTCAAATGCTCTAAGTTCTGGTACGTGTTATCAGGACTGTTATACTTACAATGCCTCGATTCTTGCCTTTTGCTCGGTCAAAGGAGACGAAACAATGACGCTTTCATGTCTCCTATCATTAAAAGTTGAAACATCTGTTCCTCTCTCTCCGCCCATGTTTCCTCGTGAATAATCATCAGGAGCCGCTGTTGTTGATACAATTTCACTGGCATTGAGCCCATTTAGAACATTGGAGACTGATATATTGGAGCGGTTGAGATTGAAGTTTTGTTCTGTCTCTGCCGAAACTCTGTAAGTTTCTGTGCCAGCCGGCCGCAAACTACGCTCACTGTTTTCTAGCTGTTGCGGTCTGGGACTGGGAAGATCACGAGGCCGGGACATTGCTGAAATTCAAACACCCATTTCATAAACAGAAACCAGTTGCCGTGAATGTAACGCAGAATCTTCCGACTACAGTAATTCATGCATTTGAAGACAATGCAATTGAAAAAGTTGACTCAATTTCAGTTCCAAATAAAGAATTTTTCAATTTCAGTGGATTCAATTTCAGCTCCAAATGGATTCAATTTCTGCTCCAACAAAAAGGATTCAATTTCCGCTACAAATTAATAAAAAATAGAAAACAAATATATCAAAAAAAAAATAGAAACAGACTGGGGGTGAGTGATAAATTCAGACTGAAAAACGAAAAAAAGCCAACAGACAGTTGGGGAAGAGTCAAGGAACGGAAGAGAAGAGAACAATTACTGACTTGTTTTTCCAAAAAATATAGCCAACAGACACTTGGAAAAGAGTCAACGAACGCAAGTAAACAAAAAAATAGTGACTTAATTTTTGAAATTTTCGAATTTTAAAGAGAAAAATAGATGCCCCTAAAGCTCTTTGAATGTCTAGAACAATTAATCCTTGAAACTTTTTGGATAAATTAACCCAACTTCAAATAACTGGATCAATGATCAATAGGTGATTTTTTTATTCCAGTGGAAAATCTGAACAATACATTCCACTTTCGAACTAGAAGTCAATCACAGTTTTTGTGAACTTTACACTTTTGCTGTTCGAAAGTGAAGTTTGCTTTCCTTTGAACGATGGAAAAAAACGGAACTTACAAAAATCAAACCGCGAAAAATTAAATTACATCAAATTGAGCCAAAAATTAAATTATATCAAATTGAGCCAAATTACATTAAAAAAATTAGAAACAGACAGAGTGAGAGACAAATTAGTTAATTTATCGTTAGTCATTTTCTCTGAAAATCGGATTGAAAAACGAAAAAAAAACACCTAACAGACTGTTGGAAGAGTCAATGAATGCAAGTAAAAAAATAGTGAGTTGTTTATTTTTGAATTTTTTTTCAATTTGAAAAAAGATGCCCTGAAGGCTGAATTCCAGGAACAATTATTAATGGAATTTTTTTTCGATTAAATTAACCCAACTTTAGATAACTGGATCAATTATCAATGATCAATGGGCAAACTTTTTATTCGGCTCGAAAATATGAACATTGAATTTCAATTTCCACACTAGGAGTCGATCACGGTTTTTGAGATTTTACAGTTTTGATGTTCGATAAGAAGTTTGCTTTCCATTGAAAATGAAAATGGTTTGAACTTAAAAAGAGATCATAAGTCAAGCCTCGAAAAAGTAAATTTGAGCCTCAACAAATTTTAAGATTGTTTTTCTGGAAAAAAAAAACGAAAAAGAAAATCATCAGCACCTATGTAAAAGTCTGAACTACTTCATCGACTTATCGAAAATTTTTAACTATCCAATTTAGAAGAACAAACACATGGACATAAAACTCATGGAGAAAATGGAGAAAACTGTATCAATAGGTTAAATTATTATTCCACTGGGAAATCTGAAAATTTAAATCTATAAGTCAATCACGTTTTTCGCAACCTTTGCACCAGCTGCAAAACTAACAAAATCATCACGACCTATACAGGATGTTCACTACCTTCAATGACTCAATAAAATAATCAGAAAAACTTTACCTCGCAACTGAGTCAATGAATTTGAATCAGAAATATGACTAAAAGGGCTTCAATATGATACCGGGTTAAAGAATCTATAGAGCTAATTTGAATCATCAGGAAAAACTACAACACCTTGAAACTTAAGTCATTTCCTCGAAATTGAGTGACTTGAGGCAAAAATTAATGAAAACAAAACTTACTGAGAATATCTGATTTAATACTTACTAGCAATTAACGCACCTTCGGTGCTTCGAAATTTTTCGACAACTCATGAAAAAAACCGCATATATTGCAAACAACATCTGCAAACTTTTAGTGTACTCTGACTGCACCCAATTACAGGGTTGGTAATTTCGAACTTTTAATTTTTTTTTAAATTCCAATTTTAAAAACGTCATCTCGAAAACTTAATGGGCCTCTGGAGAAATTTGGAAGCCAGATTTGCAACCACTGAGACTCCCTGAGAGCACCCTACTATAGGGTTAAAATTTTTTAAACCTAAATTTACCGAAAAAAAAATAATTTTTTTTTTAAAAAAAAGTCTTTTCTCGGAAACTAAAAGGATTTGAGCATTCATATTAAGAGGCAAGATTTGAAGCGCCTGGGTGTACGCTGACAATAAGGTTGTATCTTCATCAAGTTAGTAGTTTCAAATTTTTTAAATTTCTTTGTAGATAAGTTCTTTGAAAATTTTGAAAAAATCGAAAAACGTCACATCTCGGAAACTAAAAGCATTTGAGCATTCGCGTTTAGCAGTCGCATATGGCAAGATTTGCAACTCTTTAGAGTACCCTGACAACACCGAACTATAGAGTTGAGAGTTTCAAATTTTGAAAAATAAATAATTTAAACTTTCTGAAAATTTTGTAAAAATCACAAAAAACGTCATATCTCGAAAACTACAAAAAATTTCGCAGTGATATTTGGAGGCAAGATTCGCAATCCTTGAGAGTACTTTGAAAGGACCTAACTACACGGTTGGGAATTTCAGATTTTAAAAGAATAAAATTAATTCAAGTTTTCTTATAAATTTTGAAAAATCGCAACGTCATATCTCGAAAACTACAAAGAATTGAGCAGTGATATTTGGAGGCAAGATTCGCAATCCTTGAGAGTACTTTGACAGAAGCTAACTAGAGGGTTGGGAATTTCAGATTTGTAAAGAATAGAAATAATTCAAGTTTTCTGAAAAATTTTGAAAAAATCGCAAAAAACGTCATATCTCGAAAACTACAAAGAATTGAGCAGTGATATTTGGAGGCAAGATTCGCAATCCTTGAGAGTACTTTGAAAGGACCTAACTACACGGTTGGGAATTTCAGATTTTTAAGGAATAGAAATAATTCAAGTTTTCTGAAAAATTTTGAAAAAATCGCAAAAAACGTCATATCTCGAAAACTACAAAGAATTGAGCAGTGATATTTGCAGGCAAGATTCGGAATTCTTGAGAGTACTTTGACAGAACCTAACTACAGGGTTGGGAATTTCAGATTTTTAAAGAATAGAAATAATTCAAGTTTTCTGAAAAATTTTGAAAAAATCGCAAAAAACGTCATATCTCGAAAACTACAAAAAAATTGAGCGGTCATACTTGGAGGCAAGATTCGCAATTTTTGAGAGTACCCCGACAGGACCTAACTACAGGGTTCGGAATTTCAGATTTTTAAAAAGTAATCATAATTTAAGTTTTCTGAAAAATCACAAAAAGCATCATATCTCGAAAACTACAAAGAATTGAGCAGTCACATTGGGAGGCAAAATTTGCAATCCTTGAGAGTACTTTGATAAGACCTAACTACAGGGTTGGGTATTTCAGATTTTTAAAGAAAAGAAATAATTCAAGTTTTCTGAAAAATTTTGAAAAAATCGCAAAAAACGTCATATCTCGAAAACTAGAAAGAATTGAGCGGTCATACTTGGAGGCAAGATTCGCAATTTTTGAGAGTACTCCGACAGGACCTAACTACAGGGTTCGGAATTTCAGATTTCTAAAAAGTAATCATAATTTAAGTTTTCTGAAAAATTTTGAAAAATCACAAAAAGCGTCATATTTCGAAAACTACAAAGAATTGAGCAGTCATATTGGGAGGCAAAATTTGCAATCCTTGAGAGTACTTTGATAAGACCTAACTACAGGGATGGGTATTTCAGATTTTTAAAGAAAAAAAAATAATTCAAGTTTTCTGAAAAATTTTGAAAAAATCGCAAAAAACGTCATATCTCGAAAACTACAAAGAATTGAGCAATCATATTTGGAGGCAAGATTCGCAATCTTTGAGATTACTCTGACAGGACCCAACTACAGGGTTGGGAATTTCAGCTTTTGCGAAAAAAAATTAAAATAAGTTTTCTGAAAATTTTTCGAAAAAATCACAAAAAACGTCATATCTCGAAAACTACAAAGAATTGAGCAATCATATTTGGAGGCAAGATTCGCAATCTTTGAGATTACTCAGACAGGACCCAACTACAGGTTTGGGAATTTCAGCTTTTGCGAAAAAAAATTAAAATAAGTTTTCTGAAAATTTTTCGAAAAAATCACAAAAAACGTCATATCTCGAAAACTACAAGGATTTGAACAGTCATATTTTGAGGCAAAATTTGTAACTCCTTAGAGTACTCCGACAGCACCCAACTACAGGGTTGGGAACTTCAAGTTTTGTAAATTATTTTGTTATTTGAAATTTCTGAAAATTTTTGAAAAAATCTCAAAAATCGTCTTATCTTGTTAACTAAAATGATTCGGGCATTCGAAATTGGAGGCCAAATTCGCAACCCCTAATTCGATATTGGGCTGCTTAACTTAAACTCGGTAAAATAACCACTAAAATCAAATTAGAAAATCGAAAAAAAAATCTTAACCATTGCAATATACGATATAGCTTAAACATGCAAAAATAATACATTGAAAAAGCTTAAACATGGCGAGATAATGAAGCCCGCATTTAAATATATAATAGATTTGTTGACTAAGACTACGAACCCTTTAGACTTTCACAAGAAATATGAGGCCTATAAGGTGTTTGAATTTCAAAAATAACTTATGAGTGGCACTTTTTCGATAAAAATAACCTAAGCTGAGAAGACTGGCTTATTAGGTAACATTTTTATTCCACTGGAAATTCTTTAAAATCCACTTACGAAACTAGAAGTCGTCCACGGTTTTCCGCATCAAAAACTTTCTCAGTTGTAGGGCAAAAAATTCCAACCAATTGGCAAACCAATTGCTCAAGAAGTTCAAATGAACAAAAAAGCATTAGTATGTATAAATACAATTTTCTGTACATATTATAGCATTTAAAAACATTTTTTGGAATAAACATACAACTGTCTCCACAGCGTTCATTGTAAAAAAAAACAAGTTGAGGGCAGTGGCTTAACATGAATGCGACTCTAGCAATAC